CGTGCTATTAAAAATATCGTACATCAGTTCAAGATGAGCTTTTGTTAGCATATAGAAAAAAATATTAATTCGAACAGGTTAAGAAGAGAATATAAAAATACTCAGGACTTAAAATTGATTTTTACTTTATCTAGGTGAGGACAAATCGGTTGTGTACGGTAAGAGTGATGCTAATACTTATTCTATAAATAAAGTCTACAAAAAAAAACGTCACCTACCACAGACATACATTTCACCAATTTCATCCTTTTCGACAGGCTGCATTTTATCATTTAAAATAAAAACTTCGTAATTTATTAGTGGACGACCAAGCGGTATAACAGTTGTAGAGTTTCTTAAATCATGAATATTTTTAATATTATTTATTATGGAAATTAAGAATTCACTTGCTCCATAAAGAATATAGACATTTGTACTTGGATATAAATATTTACCTAACGTTGATAGATGTTTAGGTTTTGATAATTCACCTAATGAAATAAATGAAGAAGAGAATAATCAAATTCATACATTTGAACGTAACATAGTACTGATAAGGGAAGGTCCTGGAGCGCCGATCAAGATGATACTTTTTTACAATCCAATGAGACTAATAAAAAGCTAATACAATTCGTCTCCGTACGCTGTCCTTCTGAAGTTATGACTGCTTTACTGAATATTCAACCTCAGGACGATATTTGTGGAAAACCTACATAACACAATTTTGACTGGAAATTTTATTTGTCATCGTTCCTCTTCCCCCCTCTAACAGGAATAGACTTCAAGAACGTGACGATTACCGTTGGGCTACTAGCAGATAACAAAATTTGACCGCGTTAGAAGACCACCATTTGAAATTCGACTTCCTGCACACATAAGGGGGAGTATAAGCAACTGTGATCAGTCATTAAAATGTTCTAGAACTGTGTTAACTGAAATAAATGCTTCTTTCTCTAGATATTGAAGATTCATGTTCTGCTGCTCACTCATAGCACCTCCCGCTTTCTCCTTCTACCTCCCTAAGAAGTCTCCGACTGACAGAGAAGAAAATTGGGCTTCTTCTAGAAGCCTGAGAAGTCCACTTGTAGCGCGGCTGTGGAGACTGTTAAGTCAAGGAAGGAAAGGTAAAATAACCAAGTTAGGAAAACAGAAATCAAAATACGGTCAAGTAAGATAAAGTACTCTCACCAACTTAAACCACACAGCTTTGTGAAAGTTATGATGTACTTCTATAAGAATGAACTCACTTATATGAATTTTAAAATTTAAAAAAAGATAAAGTAAATGGAAAAGTTGGTATAAGGTTAAGAGCAAAGGACCTGTTTATTATTGTGCTTCAGAAGAATTTGGAATATTTTGTACTTTATCATATCTTAGCGATTCTATCTCATCTTACACTATGTTATTTCATATTATCCTATCTTAATCTGGTATTCTCTATCTTGTCTCACGTTACTTTATCTCAGTTTTCTTATCTTACCTTTTACTACAAGTTGCGGGTTCTCAGGGATTTCTTATATATATCAATTCTTCTGACTTCTCAGTGAATAGGAATTTTTCGTACTATGTTTATAACGGTTTAAGCCCACATATGAATCTGGCAAATCTGTGAGAGTTAACTTCTAATTTGATTTTTCTAGAGATCTTTCTGATGGAAAATGGCCTAAAAATTCATGTTAAAACTTCACGTTAACTAGACTTCTAGTTTGAGGCAACATGAAGATTACTTTCCGAATTATGATAGGTAGTTTCGTTGAGTGCTGTTCAGAGTATGTAATTTTCAGAGAAGATACCTCATGTTTTTTACTCTTAATGCCGATTTTATGGAATTATCCGTTACATACCGGCTAGAAGAATATTTCTGAGCGTTTTAATACGTGAAATTGAATCAACATCATTATTAACCAATAAAAAATAATCACATAACATTCGTATAATTGTTGGTCCGGTATAAATAATTGTTACTTGTTTTTGGCAGATTGTTTCACTTAAATAAGACATATTCATGTGACCTCCAGGTTTTAACATAACTAATGTTGTTCCAAGAATTATTGTGGGGTATATTTCAGCCAAATGAACGGCAAACGAACAAGAGACTAGCTGCACAATTTTATCAGTTGCTTTAAAGAGATTGGACGCTTCGAACGACTGGATACTTGCTCTTAATGCATTATAATGTTGTTTAACATATTTTGGTTTAGCTGTTGTGCCAGATGTTGTTACCAGAAAATCATAAAGATCATCATTATTTTTTTAGTTAATTGAGAAACAGTTGATAATCGTTGTAAGTCATTATCTGTTATTGATCTGTTAATGAAAATAATATCTTCAACGTTAATAATTTTTAGTGGAAATGAAACTGTATTGAATTTGCTTTGTGTTTTTGTATGTGTAAAAAGTAGACCTCCATTGTAATTATCGTTCCGGATCATTCACCTAGGATGGGGTGACTTTAGAGTGAAAAAATCTGATCAGTGAATAGGTATATCTAAATAAGTCGTGTCACAAATGAATCGTCCTCTGATTATTATTTCTAAACGTTGATCTGTATCCTGAGGATTTAGTGCAGAGTAGAAAAACGTTCACAAATGACGTTATCATAGAGAAGTGTATGTGCTGTACACTTCAATTGTTTTGATATAACAGCCTTGATGGCTTCCAGTGTCTATCTTTTGCTTAATTATTACTGTTCAACAGCCCTATAATTTCTTTAACAAGAAAGAGAAAACAAAAGAAAAGGCTTCCATTGTGCAAGGCGCAACGATTCGAAAGTGTGTAAATATAACTGAAAGCGAGTCAATGTAACGATCATTCGAAAACAAAAAACTCAAATCCTCCATGTGCAGTTTTACAGAGAACATAGTCGATATCATCATTTTTTATCAATTTCAACTTAATTCAACGTAATGAGCAATCGCTGATTCGATCGTTCCAAATCTGTTGGAGACTTAAGTAAATTGTCTAGCCCTCCTAGTCTGTGGAAGACATTTCGACGTGTTTAGGAATTGTTATAGTAAAAGATTTCCTACACTACGCTCAAAATCCTAATTCTCACAACTGTCTGCTAAACCCATGCAGATGAAAAAGTCGTTGGAGGGTGCGGCGAGTACTCGAAAACAAGCCCTTGCCGAGGGCTCGAACCCTCGGAAAAATGGCACTTTGGACCCCGATATAAGGTTTCAAGGGGTGTCGATTCCGAGCCCTCGGATTTCAGATAGGTACCGAGCCTTCGAGAAAAATTTCGAGCCATCAGACAGAGATGTTCGAGACTTCCGAACTCTCGTCGCCCAAGGTGGGATGTTCGGGACTTCCGAGCACTCGCTCTCTCGAGCGAGCGACGAGGGCTCGAGAATACT